CTACTTATAGTCATCATGAGGCCAGGAAAGTTACGTTGTAACCATATTTTTTGGTTATTTTAAATCTCCTCTGTAATATAACATTTCGAACTGAGTGCACATACATGACATTCGAAATTTCAGCAAAAGGCTACCAAATGTGTTGGGTTTCCAAGTTTTTCTGAACCTATATGACGTCACTCTTATATTCTGCTTATAGGCAGAAGCGTAGCATCATCCGGAATGTGTAGTGAACAATTTATGTACTGCAAGACTGTGGTCGCGTCCGTCTGTAATAAGTGGAATAACTTCATTCAACACCAGCCTCCCTGCTGATAGGAATGAAACATTCACTAAACGCTTTTTCAACTTTGATTGGCATATGTTATGCATGCAGCCATTGAAAAAGGGTTCAGTAACTTCAAACTGATTAATAACTAAATATTTGACAAAAGTGCGTGTAAAGATTAAAAGAATATGCAGCTTCGCGCACTGTTTGAAAAGGGGAGTGACTTTTCACGTTCAGCTAGATTCTTGGCATTTTTTGTGCTTACACATCAAAGGCTGTTGTAGTTTTGCTCTAATCCGAATATTATTCAAGTAAAGTGAGACAAACTTTTACTGGGTGGAATTCTGTAGTTTCTGCTACATGGTGAGTCAAAAGTGTCGAAAAAATGCTTGTGATAAAGCCGGGTGCCACTTCACAGTGGCCTCTCGTATGCAGTGCAGTGAATGTAAGAGTTGGTTCCACGATAACTGCACAAGCCTCATACCCTCAGCATATAGGAGGCACAGCACCGCAGGAAGTGTCTAGCTTTGTACGTTGTGCTGCTCGGATATTCACACTCTGATAGAAGAAGAAGCAAAAACACTTCTAAACACGATAACTAAGAAACTGTAGTCGAAAGTCAAAGCCGATAACTATGACAGTGATAACGACACAGCATCCATTGACACATAGATTGCTGTGCAAAAGTTTAAGGACGTCTCACGACAAGCTGTAAGTCGGGCGTAGACTACCCACTAAGTTTGCTGATAGCGACTTGGAAAAAACTACACCAAGTAGGGTGAGGCGAGTATCTTCTGGTTCTCGCATCCCCAGAGCTGGTAGACCCAGTCTGAAAACTGCTGACCGTAAGACTAGGTCTACTTCAGATGAAAGAAACAGGAGTGAAGTGCTCTCAGTATCAACGACGGAACCGTGCGGGCTGCAGGTCATACCCAGTTCGGCGACCCAATCATTGACAAGAACTAAACAGAATGGGATGCAAGTCCGTTCTGAGGCTTTCAGCGTCAAGGTCACTGGACTAGGCTTTAGTAAACCTTGCATACCCAACTCTGGAAAATGACAAGTAACCAAGTCTAAACGGAATGCTAAGAAGCCAATAACGGTCACCGAACCAGCTATCATCGCTCCACAGAGCAAACACAAAGTAGAGATCCTTGACAGGTCCGTAATCTCCCACAGAGTGAAAGAAAGAAGAGACCCGGAACCACGTAAACGTTTTAAACATGACCTTGGCAAGGTACAAAGTTTGATAAACCAGTTTTTACCAGAAAACATGTCAGGAGTCACCCTACTCAAGATATACTGAGTAGGAGAGAGCAAAATCTGAAAATAGGGGGTTTTCGTGCAGTGAGGTTTCGGCAACAAATGATACCAAAGCCGCTATGGATACGATGAAAACTCATTTAAGTTGTTTCGTTGTCTTGTACACAAATGCAAGTAGTCTCTTAAACAAGTGGACTGAGCTTAGTAATGTGATAAGCAACGAAAGCCCTGACATCATTGCTATCTCAGAAACTTGGTTCTCTTCTTGGATCAGTGACTGAAATACACTTACGAGGATTCATCCCTTTTACAAGTGACGGGTTAGCACGCAAAGGTGGTGGTGTCATCTTTTACGTTAAGAATACCTTAACTGTAAAAGCCATAGAAACAGTTGCACACAAAAGTGCGACATGTGAAATGCTGCACTGCCAACTAAAATGAAAGGGGCAAGGTGTTAACGTAATCGTGATATAACGAAGTCCTGAATGTGATGCAGCAGACTTCCTCCTGAATAAGCTGACCCTCTGAACAGATAAATACCGATTTCTAGTTGTAGCAGAATTCAACGCACCATCAGTTGACTGAGATAGACTAACAACAAAAGCACCACGTAATTCGTTTGACCACAGGTTAGTGGGAACATCAATTTCCTTAGCCCTCATACAGCACATTAGGACACCAACCAGATATAATCATCAGCATGCTCCATCAGTTCTGGACTTAGTATTCTCACATACAGACGACACATGCTTCATCCTGCACCTAGCACCCCTTGGTAAAAGTGATCATGCTGTGATCATCTTCAGATTCCCAGCAGACGTCTTGTGCCAGGCCGATGCCTCAGCTATGCTCAACATATGGAAAACGAATGTGGAAGCTATTAACCTGGCAGTCTCTTCGGAGGACTGGACAGTCAAGCCAGAAGCCTCAGTTGAAGGTGCATGGTGCTCCTTCAAACAGTTATATGCATGAGTGACCCAACCGTTCATTCCGTGGACTGTCCCGAGGGGACGGAAACACTGCCCTCCATGGATAAACCACGAAATCTGAATCTTGCTACGACGTAAGAAAAAGTGTTGGGGTCTTGCCACCCACCTCGGTACACTCGAAGTGGTGAAGCATGACAAAGAAGCTCGCAATAAATGTATGGCTGCTATCCACCGGTCTCGAATATGCTCTGAAACACGTCTTGCCCAGGCTGCATTGCAACATCCAAAGAGGTTATTTTCCTTTATGAACTACAGAAACAAGATGTGTCGTGGTATACCCATCCCAATCAATGGGACCAAAACTGACTGTTTGATTGAGGACGATGAGGAAAAAGCAGAAGCCACGGTTGGATATTTTGCTGAAGTCTTTACACAGGAATCTTTTGTGAACACGTATCCAATAGTCAAAACATTGACATCCAACAGAATAAACTCCGTGGACATAGATCGCAATGATGTATTTCCGATATTAAGCAATCTCGACGTGTAGAAATCAACGGGACCGGATGCGCTGTACCTAAGGCTCCTCACGGAGCTTGCACTTTATGTAGCCAGCCCATTGACTACTATATTCAGACTGTCTCTCAGTGAAGGCATACTCCCCTATGACTGGAAGGATGCCATAGTAACACCTATCCACAAGCCAGGTTCTAGGCAGCTCCCATCAAACTACAGACCGATAAGTTTGACTAGTACTGTAGTGGAAATCCTAGAAAGAGTAATCTAGAAATCCATTATAGTTCACCTAGAGAGCAACACTCTATTGTCTCGTTCATAGCACGGTTTTCGTAGGAATTTCTCTCGCTTGACGAACCTCCTTACAGCCAGAGAAAGTTGGGTTAAGCCTAAAGATGATAGGATACCGCTAGATGTCATTTTCATTGACTTTAGTAAGGCGTCCGACAAAGTACCACATTCAAGGTTGCTAGGGAAACTGGAAAGTTTTGGAATCACTGGCAGTCTGCTCTCATGGATAAGAGACTTTCTTGTTGGTAGAAGACAAACAGTTAGGATCAATTCTCAACTCTTCACTTGGAAGTCGATGGAGAATGGAGTGCCACAAGGCACAGTCCTGGGCCCCCTGCTGTTTCTCCTATACATAAATGACCTGCCAAATATCACGAGCTCCCCTATGGTTCTCTATGCTGATGATGTGAAAATCTGGCGGGAAATTAAGAACGATGAGGATATACGTATGTAAATGTGTGAGCATGCACTCGGAGCACACACACACACAGCAACACCTACGATATTGATGGGACTCCTTTATTGTCATTACTGACCCACAATGACCTAGGAGTCACAGTGAGTTATGACTTGAAAACCACGGCTCACTGTCGATTGGTAGCAGCTCGGAGTTTTAGGACTCTCTAGGCACTACGCAGAACGTTCACGAAAATAAGTGGTGACATGTTCACCATCTCATACACATCCTTAGTTAGGTATAAATTAGAAAACTGTAAACAGGTGGCTAATCTTTGTCTGAAAGGTGACGCAGACCTTCTAGAAACAGTTCAGAGGGCAACCACTCGTATGGTTCCCGCGATGGCTGGCCTCACCTATGAAGACCGACTTAAGGAGCTGAACCTCTTTACTTTGTCCTATCCCAGACAGAGCGGAGACCTAATCATGCTATACAGGATTCTAAGAAATGACTTTGGACCTGATCTATCTTCTCTTTTCCTTCCCACTAGGTCAAAACACCTCAGAGGACATAGTAGAAGACTACAACAGCAACGGACGAACATAGTCTCCGCAGAGTACTGGTTCTCGCGTCGAGTAGTCAACACCTGGAACCGACTCCCAGAAGTGGTGTCCGCATCACCCACTGACTCGTTCAAAAAGGGGTGGGAAAAGTACGGAAATCTACTGCAAAAGGATTAATATAGGCTCCTATCCTCAAACAACAAATCTAAATCTGAAAAACTAAACACCATGAGATTCACTTTGGTGTATGGACTTCAAACAATTTCAATCTATCATCTACGACAAACACCAGTAGGAACTGTTTGTGTTTTGAGTTTGAGCCAAACTGTTTGTCTGAGTGTGAGCCGCAAATTTCTTGTCGATGTAAGTTGCTATGTTCCAAATACGGCAGCATATGGAACGTTCAAAACACTACTACAGTTACCAATGATCGGGCATACTGATACAAAATATTTCCGTAGTAAGGGATGCCAAAACTGCTGACGTTTCCTAGGAAACTTTTGTACAAACAATTACCAGTGTACTTGACATAATTGAATTCAAAACCAAACCGTTTCAGTGTTTCATGTGATAGTAGTGACATTACTAATTAACTAGCGAAACACTAAGTCATTAGAAAAACCAGTAAGTTTAAAAACACATGTGTCCACTTAATAGTTCACAACAAGGACACAACATGCAGTTAATTATTCATGAATGTGTTTAAACACGGGAATAGATCGAATTCATAAGCATTATCCATGTTCATAAGAAGTCAATAGTCATTAACATACCTTTACTTGCTCAGAAATGGGATGATTTAGAAAACCCGTCGTATATTCAACAGAAAACTGTAATTTGGTGTTCACTGTACTTCGTTTAGATCGAGAACTTGGAGAAGAAAAAGCATGAATCTTAATTTTGCATATTATTAAAAGCGTTCTTACTAAACGCGTATTCTGAGGGACCCTGCAGATATGCTCTGAAAGGCAAACCGTCAAGAAAAGTACCAATATGAAAATGCTTTTGAGAAGTTTCATTTTCAAACATTTGTACATATGCGAATCTACGCAAACCAATCCAGTTTTCGAAGTGCTTCTGAAGGACAAGCAACCAACAAAACACATTTAATGTTCAATATCTTTAAAGTGAACATGACAAACTGACAGTTTTGAACTCTCTTGTCTGGACCTTCACGTTTAGTCAGCTCTCTCTCGTTTCACCCCTCCAGTGAGCATGAAAGCATTTTCTGCTTTCTGTGTTCGTCACGTCCATTAGCTAACAAATTCAGTTTATTTCATGAACTTTCAGCATTCAGCGATAAGGATAAAAAAGCCACCTATCCTGTGTTCATTCCTGGAACTAATATCGCCGTGAAGGCCTATTTTCACCTCGAATATGTTCACTGAAGAGGTTGGTACTCGTTGATGTTGCTTAATCATAATTTTCGAACTTCCTCAAGATAATCTTGAGAATAACCAACCCTATCAGAATACAAAATAACAGTACATTAGTGGTGGAGCTATCACTAAGGTAATGAATACCACCATGAGGCCAAAACTTATCTTACGGGAAGATAATGGCAGTTAATTAAGTTGACTCAAACTGTCCTAAGTCACAAAGTTGAAAAAGACAGCCACAGATTAATCATGAGCTCCTTAAGTACACTCACATGTGACGTCGCCTCTCCCTAGACACAGACTAGCTGCCTCAATGAAGGACTCCAAGTAGCATCTCACCCATGCAGAATAGGCGATTTGAAAATATCCAGATCAAAACAGCTGAAAGCTCTGCGTATATGGCGTAAAATAATTCTCCGAAATCAGTAACCTAAGGTTTAGAGGGATTCAACGCTGATGCTGACGTTCATTATTTTGAAGAGTGGGTCAAGCTATTAGCACACAGTCAGGCATATACACCATTTGGCGCGTTATCGTGTTACAGTGTATTGCCCGTACACAATCCCCTTGCCATCTGGTCAAAACATACCAGTGCTTTGACACGATCTACCAATTACCTAGCCACTATATTGTGTTCTTTCTAGGTCTTGCACCCGTGGGTATCTTACAAGTGTGAAGAGTTTGTGGTTGACCTCTGCATCTGTCGAGTTCGCGCGTGGAAAACTCTTAAACTGATGGGTTTGTTTCCTGTGTACCTTTCCATATTTTACTGCTTGCATTTACCCGTAACATAGACTTCCGTGTTCACACGCAACCAGACCCTCATGCTTGCCCCTAATGACAGACAACGCAGTAGATCCAGCCCATTTAGTGCTGACTAGACAAGTCGGAATCATAGTTTACGCACACCGGAGCTGATCTCCGAGAACAGTGAGTCATGGGTCCTTGTCCTGAACTTCTTGTCGCTATACGATCACTAACGTGTGCAGATATGCAAGTACGCTGCGCCACACACCTCGGAGCAGGCGATCTTCATACGCTGCCCAAAGGAACCCTCTGGGGGAAAAAGTGATCCCACAGATTGCCATCGCTAAGATGAATCGCCTTGGAACGTGGAGCTAGGGGGCAGTTTAACCAGTCGAATGTTCGCTGGGATGGGAGAAGCTGTTTTTATTCCGACACAGCTGATGATGGCCGTTTCTATGAGCTGTCTGTCTCAAAACTGACACAACTGGCGCAGTCCATGCAAGCGACACTTCAGTCAGTTACGATCGACGATCTGGTAGTCTCAGCCTATAAAACATCGGAGGTCATTTGTGAAACTGTTCAAACCTGTATTCGGCTGACAGAAACCTTGTAGTTACCAGTAAACTTGGTCACGATTTCTGTATGATGTAAACTTTATATTCACTATTGTTTGCAATTGAACGACGTATAACTTTGAATGTGCTAGTAAAATTTTGCGCGCTAACCTTGCCCAATAGAGTGCTTGGAATAAGCACGTTGTACTTCTACCACTGCCTTTTTATTCTCTACTTTGTAATTGTCCAATACAAATTGTTCATAGCGTTATCCTTAGGCCCCTGGGCCTAACCACCTAAGTGTCAATATTTGTAGATGGCAGAATTACGTAACTCTGGTGAGCAGCTCCTAAGAACTAGAAGCTCTATGTGACCACACAGTGCGGTATTGACATCCTCCACACCACCGCACCAGTTCACATGATCAACCAAGAGGTAAGCCACTTAGGATTGCAAACCCAAAATGCTGTTGGCTACATAACACCATGGGTGAGGAGGTAACTTGTTGCAGTGAGCTGTGAATACCCTACAGAGACTTCGTAAGATCAGGGAACGTCCCTGCCCACAGGCTTTTTTTACGCATCGCAGACGTAAAACGGAAGTTTGTCATTTTGTCTACCATAGCACAGAAGTTGGCGTTCTTCAGGTAACGGCGAAAAAGCATCGTAGTGACTAGTCTTTTAGTCCGCGAGCGGCTAACGGCGAAGCGATCTCCACTTTCGAGAAAAGGTATGTCCACCTAACTATAGGTTTACGCAAGCCTATCGACTGAATGTTTCCTCGAAATGATGTTTCCATCCCCATCACTGACTCAGACTTTCTGCACCAGTGCGACCTAAGCATAGATGTCTGTCAGCGATAGCCAACAGATAATGGCGCGAAGTTTCCCATTATCACGACCACCTACGTAGGTCAAGGTTTATCTCCGGTTAGAACGAGACACACAATCGGATCCAGCCAATGAACATCGCCTCCGCATTTGGAACTGGAAAGTGATGGAAACGATTGCCCTCCAACCGTTGATCACTGATCGCCTAAACCCAATGCAACCTCTGACTGCTACCTAACACGTAGCGCCTGTGATCCAACAACGCATTTAGGTGAACTGAGCGCACTCCTAAAGATCGACCACATCAATTCTTATTATCACATCCCCATGGCATTTTGAAGTAGCCATTATCATAAACTTTCGGTTCTTTGAATACAGGTTCATTTCCTTCTGCCCTTGATAGAAAGCGTAAAACTATGAAAGCTGATGATTGGGATTTTGCTTAAGTTTATGTCAGTGGCTCTCTTTTTGAGGGTCCGGATGAAGCTCACTTCGAACGCTTAAACCCCATACCCAACAATCTGAAAAAGTTTGACATCACAGTCATCCTACGGAAAAGGTAATTGGCGGTTGAATCTTTTCGTTCACGTGCGTAATCCATTGATAACAAAAGTATCAACCCATCATCAGATACATTTGAAGACACTGTGGAGATATTTTATAGGCTGAGACTACCAGATTGTCGATCGTAACTGACTGACTGGTTCATCGCTGTCTGTTTTCTCTATTGTCGTTGTAACTAGAATCTTGGAAACCTTTAATTAGATTGGAATTGCAGTATTTCATCGAGCAACCCCTCTGTAATCGCCCAACCTGCGATGAACGTCCTTATCGCATCACATGAAGCCTCTTGATACTTATTCATCCTGTTTTACGAGGAATCGTGCGTCAACTGCAATGTTTTACTTCCGAATGGTTGACTGGCGCCATTTCGGCAACTGCAGCCATAAATAGCATACAGAAATGCAGAAAAATTCCCCAACTTTATCTACAGGTGCACAATCTTTGAGCCGGCTTCGACATTGAACGGAATTTAATGATTATTCACCGGGCTACCAGGTGCGAAACAAAGTCTTATGGCGGCTACGGTGGATATATGTTCAGTTTGGCATGAACAAACAAAAGTAGAACGTCTCACCAGGGAGGTGTTCTGTTATCATCAGTATGATTTATTATTGTCTATACAGTATATCTTGACGTTTTGATGGATCTGGAGATGCAAATCTTTTTAATAACACATACGACCATCTTTTTGATGAAAACCCTTGAGTAAATAAGCTGGTGTTGCTCCGTCAGGAATGGGCCCACTGAATTGCCTCCTCTTCTTTTTTGCATCAAGCTTTTACATAATCAGTAAACTCAATTTTAGTTTCTGCCGGAAAACATAAAATCACCACAAAAATCCATCATGTAATTTAAGTGCACTATTTGTATGTGATATAAGATCTTCTTTTTTTCAGTCTGGGGATTTCTATTACCTGAGATGAAAAAGAGATGGCAAACAACATTACCATGGATTTTTCACCACTAAATGTAGTAACTGTATCCGTGGCCATCATATGCACCTGTAAATTCAGAAATGAAAATTATTATTATTATTGGCCTGCTTTGCTGAGATAAGCTTACTTTTCAATGATGCATGGGTCAATTCAGGTTAGCAACTGCTGTTGTATGGCACAGCTTCGTCGCCAGGTTGTTCAACCTTAGATGCATATTGTAACCAACTTCTTTTTGTCAGACATTCTTTGCTCTGGCAGACCGTCACTGCACACAGGATCGCTAAATAGAATGAAACAGTTCGATTGGGGGTCAGTATTCATCATTTTATGAAAAACTCATGTGTTTCATGCCCCGTTACTTGCAGAAACAGCTACCGACAGAGCAGAATCCAATTTTGAGGCTAAAGTGGTTGGTCTGAGCGCTGGCAGTCCTTTGAAATATCCTTTTGACTGCCTGAGGTTGTGTCCATCGGTGGAATGTCTTCGAAAATGTTAGTGAGGTTACTTTCTTTCAGGGTTGTTTTGAGGTCTTTGCTTATATCTGGGGAACAACCGTTGAAATAACACTTGAAAGAGTCTATAGTAACAGAAAGTTTACCACCTCTTAGTAACCTAGTGTTTCTTAAATGCTCTTAGGCGTTATACTGCTCCAGTATGTTTATAGCGCATTAATTATGTTAGGCAAAAGTTTCCCTCATGTTCTCGCTTTTGGCTACACTGAAGTCATAAATATGACAGATGCTACCCTGGACACCACAATTTACCGCAGATGTTCCCCAATTTTTTCCCATTTCGTCAGTGATCATGCAGCTGGGGTGGGGTCCTTGCAAAGTGCGAAGTTGGTCTACAGTAGTCAGCATACCAGAGACGTTTAGGATTTGTCCTGGTGTGAACTTGACAGACACAAAGACCAATCACTAATTATTCGAACTTGTTATATACCCACGAATACGAGACCAAGGAAGAACACGATAGCGTAGTCGGATGGAATAGTATATTTGGATGGTTATGCCAAAATACCGATGCGTTCCAACTAACTGGCTAGAGAGTCGAATACGAGCAATGCAACGTAACACGACAGCG